AACAAAGGCAGCAGCAGCAATAACAACAACAGCAGCAGCAATAACAACAGCAGCAATAACAACAACAGCAGCAGCAACAGCAGCATTAACACCAACAACAGCAGCAGCAGCAATAACAACAAAAAAGGCAGATGCAGCAATAACAGCAGCAGCAGCAACAGCAATAACAGCAGCTGCAGCAACAACAACAGCAGCAACAACGACAACAACAGCAGCAACAGCAACAACAAAGGCAACAGCAGCAGCAACAGCAACAACAAAGGCAACAGCAGCAATAACAATAACAGCAGCAGCAACAACAGCAGCAATAACAACAACAGCAGCAGCAGCAGCAATAACACCAACAACAGCAGAAGCAACAGCAGCAGAAGCAATAACAGCAGCAGCAGCAATAACAACAACAGCAGCAGTAGCAACAGCAACAAAGACAGCAGCCGCAATAACAACAACAACAGCAGCAGCAACAACAACAACAACAAAGGCAGCAGCAGCAATAACAACAACAACAGCAGCAGCAATAATAACATAAACAATGATGTGCATGATAACCAAAACATCATCAGCAAAAACAACAGCAACATAACAGAAACAACAACATTTTATGACAACAAAATTGTGTCAATAAGAGGACATGCAACTCAACTATGTGGTTAAGTAACCATGTACAATTGGAGACGTGGCCTTGGATATACAATGAATAATCTTAATCAGTATTCTTTGATTTCCAAAGAGCATTGTGTTGTGCATGATCGCTAGACCAAAAAATCAGCTATATGTTACGTATTGTATTCAAATAAATTCCTCATTCATTCATTCATTCATTTTTCTGCTTGTTTCTTGGTGTAAATTCTAAAGTACTGTTTATTTTCCTCATAGGTTTAAATTGTCTGGCACCAAAAGGTACTTTGGTTAGTTATGGAGCAGCATCAGGCATTCCAGACCCAATACCTGCCAGCACACTAAAAAAGAATTCCCATTCCCTTYTGACGCCTGGCCTATTCAATTACATTAAGACAAAAGAAGATCTTCATAAGCGCAGTTCAGATGTATTTCAATGGGTAATGGAAGGTTCTCTCAAGCTCAGTGAGCCGATGATAATACCTCTATCAGATGCCAAACGTGCTCACGATATTTTGGAGAACCGAGGCACTAAGGGAAAAATATTACTTAGAACTAATTAAAATCGCTGAGATAGGCAATGGTCAGTGATGCAATTTCATGGAGCAAAGCATGATGGGAATTGTATTCCTCACACTTTTTATAGCCTCTAAAAATCACCCTTTAAGCCGTTTTTATGTTTTTTCTGTATGACACAAGAAAGAGAATGGCTTAGTGGGACTATATTTTAGGGGATCTGAAAAAGTGCAACGATTACAACTCCATCATGATTTGTTACACAAAATTACATCACTGCAAATATTTGCATATTTTGTCTAGTTTTTTCATTTACCAATGAATATTAAATACTGAGAGATCTACTATCACGCTTCCCAAAACTATTCTCACTATATTGTAGATCATAATTTAGACATGTACAAAAAGTAAGAGAATGCCATAAGGATAACTTGTAGCAGTTAATCAGATAAATATTAGTTGTTTGAATGATCGCAGGATCACGAATGTTTTTGTAAAGCAATTATTTTATAATAAAGGAAAGTCATATGATAAGCGTACGAAATAATTCACCTCTTTCTCATTTTAAACGCATTTTCATATTTTTATCTTTGGGCTTGCTGTGTTTATTACCACAGGAATACCATGGGTTCCGGGTATCGATAATCGAACGCCATGTTGGATACAGTTGTTATAGCTGATCTTGAGGAAAGGTCCTGAAAAGCGTTTTTTCAGCAAGAAAGCAAAGGTGTTTTGCAAAGATAACAATAGTGTTACTACTTATGAGTCAGTATTTTGTGTCCAACTTCTGGTTTGAGTTCTTTTTGCATTCACAGAGTCGAGGAACTAAATTGTGCTGGTTGAGTCTGCAACGCATTATAAACAGTAAGCCGGAAGTTACCGAAGTTTAACTTAAAAGTTTTTAAGTTTTTAGTCAGAATTTGTTTGAGATTTAGTCACTCAAGRGTAAAGTTGTTATGCTGATCTTCTTTGCTGAACAAGAACCGTCCGTAAAGTAGATTGTTTAGCGTGTGAAGAATATCTGAATTATTATTTAAGTTGTATAAAGTTAACAGGTTTTTAATTCACTTTACGAATTTCTTCCTGTTTAGATTATGTGTCCAAAAGAAGAGAAACAGCAACAAACGAAGTGTAGTAAAGGGGCATATGTGTTCCACATCCCTGCTGGCACATGGAGACAACATTTTAGCTCTCTTTTATTTAGTGCTGACATTGTTGCTACTGCAATGGAGATATCATTGCTTGGATTTTTATCAACTGTGGCCATAGTTTTCCCATCACTCAATGTAAATTCCAGCATGACATTGCTTGAAGTGGCCATATATATGTGGGTTTTGAGTCTGCTTCGGCGTCTCTACATGTCCTATTTAGAAGCCGTTTACTGCAGTTTTCCACAGTATAGAACACAGCCGGTTAAAGAACAYGCGCTCAAAGAAGCCAAAGATATTGTCGGTAGAGATAAGGAACAACTTGACACGATTATTCAACATGATCGTCTGACATTAATAAGTCAGTTTGGCTTAGATGTCTTTATATATTTCAGTGTCCCTGGATATTACCCATCCGCCCAAGTGAGCTATCCACCAATGTATCAACGTGTTCTTCAGGTTATCTTGAATCATTATGTAATGTCTTTTGGGATGTACTGGATGCATCGTGCCCTTCATAAGAATCCATATATGTGGAAGAATATCCACTCTTTCCATCACTGGGCAAAGCATCCTTTATCTAGGACCACTTATCAAGATCATTGGCTTGATAACTTTGGCAATGCCATAGTAGGGCACTTCTTTGCTCAGGTGCTTGTTCCTTTAGATCATGACTTTTTCTGGTTTTCAAGATGCTTTCGTGTTTGTGAAAGCTTRGAGAAGCACTCTGGTGTAAGTTGTTGGTTTAATGTTGTGCACATGTCGCAGCGTTGGCTTCCTTATGCGCAGATGCCACATCATCATGACTGGCACCATGAAGGACACAAGGGCTGCAACTACACCTTTACATCCATTGGAGGTCTTTGGGATTGTATTTTTGGAACCAGGAAAACAGGTCGTCATCCTGCAGTTGCAGAGACAAGCAGGGATAGAGTACATATTGATAAAACAACGAGCAAATTTTCATCTTTGATGGATCATCCTGTGTTCTGTTTTTTGCCAATACTTGGGCTATCCATTCTCGTTGTTCTGAAATCATTCATGACTTTAAACAGTTAATCTGTTGCTTCTCACCATTATTGAAACAACTTCTATTTTTAACATGTATTAGTATTAATATTTACTGATTCACTTATTCAGGCAAGCATATATGGGAATGCCAAGATATCTGCTACTGACAGCAAGCTATATCTACTCCAGAACTATAGAAAGGCACAATATTTTGCAATTCCATGTACCTTTGGCGTCTCAGTCTTTTTTCTGATTTTCCATGTACCTTTTTCCATGTACCTTTGGCGTCTCAGTCTTTTTTCTGATTTTCAGACCACACAATCACTGTTCAATATAGAACCTGTACCAAAATGTATGGCTGTCACTACTAATTAGACTCTAATTAGCATAAGCTCAAAGTAACGCAAAATAAATACAAAAGCACGTTTTTCACTTAGAAGATGTATAAAATCCTAGTAAGGTGAACACCAACGAAGATACGAATTTTTAATAACGGAAAATTCGCAGAGAAATGTTTTGTCGACAGGGATGTAAGCCAAACCCCAAACCCTGATAGATTTTTTGCAATTTATTCAACACTTTCCATACGCAGGTTCAGTGACCATGAACAACTTGACAAAGCATTGGACCGAGGCGTCATGTAGGGAAGTACTGAACACAGATCTTTTCTTGATCGGACCCCTCGTTTCAATGCTTTGTTCGTGGCCACCTGAAAATATGGAATATCGTGAACAAATACATGTAAAAATATAGATTTTCAATATGAATTTTATCTCGTGAGTTTTGCATAGTTCGTTGTAAGTGTAAGAATTTCAGAATAAAAATACATCCGTAACGTCTTTTAGACAAGTAGCCATGACGCCTATGGCAGCCTTATTTGAAAGTGTACTTTTTCGAGAGATATCGTTTTAGTACASGGAAGTCGCTCCCCTGGCTGTTCAAAGCTCTTACCGTAAAGTGTTTTTAGTGCTAGCAGATTCAGTTATTAGCTCACTTCTTCATCTTCACAAYGAGTTGCGCCTGGTTTGCTTTTATACCGCCGAACGTGTGTGGATGTGCATTTTGATGAGATTTTGATTGTTAAATAGAAGTATCAGCCCTCCTGAGAAGTATCATTTGCACGAACTATTAGCAAAAATTTTGAGACGTAAGATGCTCATTTTGATGACTTTAAAGCTATTCAATTTGCTTGTGGACATTTCCTTTCGGATATTGTATATTCTTTTGATCAGGATAAAATGAATTCGGAATTCATTAACTGGAAAGGTTTAAGGAAATAAAGGAAGAAGAAAATTGAAGGGAAGACCGATTAAGCAAATAAATGAGCCACTGAAATGATGCAAAGAAAAATTAATAAATTTGTGTTCTATCATTTCTCTCTTGCTTTCAATCCTGAAGAATTTTCGCATCCATTTCTTTATTGTACTGTGAATATATATATCTTGATTTCAGGAATGGGAAAAAAATTACGAAACAGGCATAAATCTGGTCATGAAAGATGTGAAGATTGATCGAATTAAAGAATGAATTCAAACAAAATGATAAAATTAGTGTAGAAAAAAACGTGCTGTTAATGCAATGGGTGACAAATTGGTTTACTAATATGGTTTCACACATTGTCAGTCCCTTGTCAGCTTTCGAGTTCCGCCTCGGGCATGCAGAACATGGGGTAATAATGTGAATTGAGTTGTCTATTTTGCTYTATTTCCATAAAAATATTGAACTTGCCACGAATGTTTTTTGGTAAAATTTGCCTAGTGGCCAGACGCCATCACTTCTGTAACGGATCATCGCACGGACGTCATTGTATAACTTTGTTACGCGCTTCAATCAGTCGATATGTCATTTTTCCTGATTTTTTGAAGGATAATTTGACAAAACTTACAGTACATGAAAAAATGATAAAAAAGAACAGACTTAAAAGTTTATACTTTCTGTAATTGCTAGAAAATAGTCTCTTTTCGACACTAAATATCATTAAACAAACGCTCTTTATATCATTTTTTGCACGCACAAAGTTTATATCTGTCAAGTACGTAATGGCTAATTTAGGCAAGGACAGAAACTCAAAACACTGTCTGTCTTACACGATAAGAATATCATAAAATCCTTTGCTTAATTTCTGGAATAAAACAAAAAATCTCTTAGCTGAATGGAATTTTGTTCTGAAAATAAATGAGACTGAATTCGTTTGTCGGAAGCTCTAGACATGTRTTTTATCAAACGCGTTTTAAGAAAACAGTCCTGTTTTAACTGAACGTTAGCACATTTTTAAGCAATTATAATCCCGCCAAAAATACAGATAGTTATTTATGGGGCCCATGGGCGCAYTGATTTTGGGACGTCTTTGACGTCATAGCCTCAAAGCCGTTGTTATTCAAATGACCAACAACAGAGTRCCGAGTGACTCGGGTCAAATCGTCATTTTGCAAGACTTATATGCAAATCTTAGATAAATATCACGGTGTATGCTTCCTTTAGGGCCTTGTGAAGTTTTCCATCGGTATTCTGCCAGCTTTACTGTATCGAYTTGACACAKAGAAGCAAAATAATTGTGGACGCGCCAATTCGTATTTGTTTCCTATTTTGGAATGTCGCTACAGAAATCTTGCTAAACTGAAGTTATTGAAGGTTTCTCTTCGCTTTTGAATCCTGAATGTTACTCAAGAAGAAAATTCTCGTGGTATTATTGAATAAGTAAGTAAGGAACTTTACAGTAGAAAGGCAATTGTGTTTGATGGCTGTTCAAGCTTCGTGTATGGAACTSGCTTTAGARGGTGAACGGCTTTGCAAGGCCGGTGATTGTAGAGCTGGAGTGAGCTTCTTTGAAGCGGCAGTTCAAGTTGGGACAGAAGACTTAAAAACTCTTAGTGCAGTATATAGCCAGCTTGGCAATGCTTATTTTTATCTGCAAGAATACGAAAAGGCTTTGGAGTTTCACCGTCACGATCTGACCCTAGCAAGGACGCTTGGCGACCGAGTTGGAGAGGCCAAAGCTAGTGGAAATCTAGGAAATACTTTAAAAGTATTAGGGAAATTTGACGARGCTATAGTATGCTGTACAAGGCATTTGGATATTTCTCGCGAACTTGGAGACAAGGTAGGATTTCTGTTGATATTTGGGATAATTTAAGTTGTAAAGAAAATATTCCGCTTTGCTCATTCATGATCTTGTTTTGGTTTCCATTCGACACGTTCTATCGTACCATTTCGTCAAGTATCGGATTAGTTAAAAAATTTCCTTTCAAAGAGCTGTAGTGTTTACAATTTTCGTGTTATTKACATCGAGTTCAGTATGAAATACGCTTGTGCGTCTCATCTCAAATGTATTTTTACATATCAATATTTTTTKGGGGGGAAATCATCAACTGTCTCTAAATTTCATCCTGCTGTGAATTACAACCGCAAGTTTGTACAATATGAAGTATTACTCGCAAAAGAAAACTCTTGATTTCCTCTTGATCAATATAAGACACACTTTTTAACCAATTTTTCTTAATTGCTAATATTTCGTTGCTATGAATAATCTAGGGAACGTGTTCAACTTGGTTACATTTTCTTTTGTAAGTTAAATGTCGGCGCGACGCGACAGCTCGGCTTATTCGACCGAATTATTGTATACATGCTATTGTCAAGTGTTACGAAAAAAGAAAGAAAAAAGAAAAAAAAAATGATTTGTTTTGGAAAACCTCATTTGATTAAATGCTTTTTTACAAAAATATAAATTCGATATTGATTTTTACTTTGAATATGTGTTGAGGGGATCAGTGGGGACGATCACTATTTTCAACTATTTCTTCCTCATAGCCTCGGGGCMGGGAGATAAATATAATAGTGTAAATGCAAATTACATACGTTGTTGTCTGGTTCTAATAAACCAAAGATTGTCTCAAATCAATTTCTGAATTCTTTGTGTTTTCTGACATATTTGCGAGTTCAGTTCTGACAATTTTAGTGGAACACAATCTATWTGACCTGAATTGTTATAAATTTATTCATCGGTGGTAAAAACATTCATGTTAAAATTCAATATAAGTTAGGAATATTTGTATACATTTGAGATTTGAACGTAATTTCAACCCATCAGTCTGTTTAGATTGCTACAATGTAACTAAACCTTTTTACAATGCATGTTTATTTTTCCCTGTGTAAACTTTGACACATTTTTGCTTCTTCTATGTTTATATTGAAGGTGAAAATGTCTATAACAACAAAAAATAAACTAAAAAATCTACTCATCTTACAAATTGAATAATAGCACTATTAGGCAAACATGTAGTGATTTTGAACTATTGAGTTTTTTCTTGATACATGTTTGAATTGATAAAAAAAAGTCAATTCATTTCCCAAMTGTGTGGGTGTTTTCTTTGTTATTTAAAATTTTATGAATAATTGCTTTCCTGATTCCTATTTCACATTATTTTTACATCTAGTCACGGTGTCTCTTTCTCAATTATTGTCAATCATTCAAACACAAAACTTCATAAGAATTGATAATACTCTGTCATTGTACAAATGCGGCATCAGAAATTCAGACATTATGATTTGAGTGTCAGCTGGAAAACCTTAAAAAAATCTATTCAATTCTGGCGTTTGAATTCATAATTTTTTCCTACCTATTAAATAAGATTATCCATGATAAGATAAAAATCACTTATATTAATTTATGACTTGGTTGATGATAAAGATAGTTTTAGCTGAACATGTTGTGTGCATGCGAAAAAACAATTAAAATAAAGCCATCTTTCTTAACCACTTAAACCCTCAATAAAGGACCTAACCATGAGATTATATTTAGCATAAGACATTTAAATTTAGTTCTAACTATGAATGTGAAAATATTGTTTTTTTTTAAAGTTATATACTTTTAAAAAAAGTATAAAAGTTATATTTAGCATGAGACATTTAAATTCAGTTCTAACTTTGAATGTAAAAATATTGTTTTAAGTTATTGATTACTTAATTGAAATTTGTAATATCAGTGCTAAAATGTTATTTGGTATCTTTGTATAAATTGGACTCCTGGCAGCATGTTTGCAGTGTTATCACATCGCAAGTAATTAATAGGACAACACTGAAAATCTGCTGTGAAGAACTGACTTGAACATACATGAAAATACAAACAAAATAGGTCTCTTTTATGATTCTATACTCTTTTTAACACTMTAGTAAATTCTAATTTCTAAACCATTAAAATATCCCTTTTTCTATTATCGACATAATCCAACTTAAATCTGCATGATCTTCTAAATGAAACTGYGGATGAAGTCATTTTCTCAGCCACTTGATATTGTCTTAACAGTGCTTAAGTTGATGAGTTTTTTGATCAAAATCTCCAAGAAAGTGCGGAGCAGTCTTCTGGATTAGAAGGATTAAGCCAAATCCTTTGGAATTATTATTTTAGCACTTTATCAGCTTAAAGATTATGTGAATTTTGTGCATAAAGCATTCTTCTGTGAATAGAATTTTGTGAAAGAAGTAGAAATAAAGAAGACAGAGAAGAAAGTTCTCATTGCTTGCTTTCAATMATTCTTATGAGATTCAAAAGGCAACCATGTTGGTTGAATGAGCAATAGATCATACTAATGAGAAATCCTTTGTTGAAGTTCAATCAAGATGGCCGCTGTAATTCACAATGAAATTAAAGTATTTGTATTTGAAAACAAGTGAAAGGCAGGATAGCAGAATTAATAATATTCGAAGAAATTTCTTCTGCTTCCTTCGTTTAATCTATTTTCAGTTACTTCACATTTTAAACCATATGTTGGTGTTCTTTTACTTGTGTTTTTAACTGTTTATTTCATTTCTCATTTGCTGGGAATGAATAGGTTGACTGAAAAAAAATGAAAAAAAAAACTGAATGATAGAGCATTAAGGAGTAAACAAATGGATGGAAAATGAATGATTGAATGAACACATGAATGAATGCATGCAAGAACAGATTTAAATGAAATGAATATGCATTCATATAGAACCAAATGAAGCATAGATAGATAACTTGATGGACATCTTTTCAAATAATAATTAAAATTCCACTTAAAGTGTCGAGAGATCTCCTGTATGTTGTCAAAAACTTTTCCTGTGAGCTGGACATTTATAGTAGAAAAGACCCCCTTTGGTATTTGCTTCAGGCTTARCCTGCAATAACCATCTTCGCTTTATAAGTACACCTAATTTACACAAGTGTACTCTAGTACTCTTTGCATGTGGTGATAGCCAAAGAACTTTGTATCATGAGTGGTCATTAAAAGGAATCCATATTAGTGCATGTTTTCCTGTCTGAGTTCAAGGTTCCATTCAACCAGGAGTAAAATGATTATGAAAATAATTTAGTACTGAGAAAAAACTATTTTTTTTTTTGTACAGCTAGCATGGTATCAGGAAGTAATTTAGAACTGGCTTAATACAATCATGTTAATATGACAGAATGAGATTTTGGAATTGCATGTCTTTCATAGAAGTAATTTGATATTAGGAAACAGTTTGTTGAAGTAGGGGATGTTAAGATCTTGGGGATTCCATGAATGCATTTTTTCATTTATTTTTTCATCCCTCATTCAATTATTTATTCATCTGTTTATTCATTGTTTCATTTGTTCATCCATTTATTCCATTTATTAATCTGTTTCTTTATCCCATCCATTCAGATTGGAGAGGCAAGAGCGTTATACAACTTAGGCAATGTATATCATGCTAAAGGAAAGCATTACGGCCGTAGTTTTAATCAAGATCCTGGTGATTTTCCAGACGAGGTCCGAAGCTCTTTGGATAGAGCAGTTGAATTTTATGAGTAAGTAATCTTCCGTCCCCTCCCTCCTCTATCCCTTTCCCCCTTCCCCCTCCCCCCCCCCAAAAAAAAACATGCACCCTACATCACCTTACCCCTATACCAACTTGTTTCTCTCACTGTCATGTATACAAGATCAGATGAGGAACTTAGTTGTATAGTTTTCCATCAAGGAACTTGTTGCGGTATACCTGTGTAAAACACAGGGAACCCGCAGTAGTAGTGCAATCTATATCAGAGGTCAGTCACGTTAAATCTGATCCCCATGTAAATAGGAACGTGAACGATTTAAGGAACGTAGTCTGTCCACTATATGTCTTATTTGCCTAACGGATTTGCTCCTGTATGAACTACGCTTAGAATCGTCTGGAAATATCTCAAAGTTGACTTGCGTTTAACAAGCAATAACAGCTTGAATTAATTTTGTTGAGCGTCCAACTACGAACGGMCTACCTTTGCTCCAGATTTATTTAGATTTGCTTGAATGCATTGAATGGTAAGTCGTTTTCTCCACAACATGAACATCGTAAATATTCCTCCACAACGTTTTCACGTCGGAAACTGCAAAAGAAATAGAAAATCTGATCGCGTTCTTTTGCAATGGAAAGTATGGTTAGGCATTTTTGAAAAATCAAACATTTTTGTCGATAAAAATTGATACTTCTAAGATGGTCATTAACCTTAATTAGCACCGTAAACATCGAAAACATCGTGATTTTTTTTTCATCTTATTCATTGAAAACTTGGCTTTTTTTGGAGACATTGAGGGGTAACCAACAGTAAACTGTCTTGAGTCGCGTTTGTTTTTATTCCAAATATAAGAACGGCATTTTTGGAGTATGTTTGATATAKTCATTATCATCAGAGGGCGAAGATCAATTTGAAGGCATAACGTCGACCTTTATTTGATCTTATTGGGCTGTTAGTTTCTTTATTTGGTTAGTTTCTTCTTTTCTCTCTTTCCTTTCCTCTTTCCCTCTTTTTTTCATTTTTCTTATTTTTATTTATTATTTTCCGCAGTTGAACTTTCTTATTTTCTTGCTATCGATCCTCCATTCTTTTCTAATTCCTGTCCTGTTGTGTCATTCTTTCTATTTCTATCTTCTTTGCTTCCTTTAATTTGGTTCCAGTTTTCCATTCCAATTTAAAGTATGTATTTATAAATGCAAGCTACCATATTCGCGTGACTTTGTAACGGCTTCGGATGACCCTAAGCTCAGCGYGATACTGATAACGATTGTGGGTCACGCTAAGCGTGGAGTCACGCTAATCGACACAATRTGTAAAYGTCAAATATCTTGTACTTTAGTGCAGAGTCCTTCATGAATACATTTTTTTGTATTTTTGTAGAGCGAATCTAACTATCGTCAAAGTCTTAGGAGACCGAGCGGCCCAGGGACGTGCTTGCGGTAACCTTGGYAACACGCATTACCTGCTGGGTAATTTTGATCTGGCAATCATGTTTCATGRAGAGGTAACCAACCATACAAGAATTGGTTTAAAACGCTCTCACTCATTGGTCGAGAAGCGTTACATATTGCTTATTTAACGCGAGCTCTGATTAGCTCACAAGCGTTATAAAGTTAGTGACATATATCACGCGYACTCATTGGTCGAGAAGTGTTATATATTACTGTCTGGTTGGCAAGCGTTCTATATCACTTACAATTTAATTTATAATAACGCCGGTTCTCATTGGTTGAACTGACATTAATATTGAGATGTAATGAACGCTCTCATGGGCCGATTCCCCAAGTCAAAAATTCGTCATTCTTACTGATGCTAGCCAGGCTAAGCCTCCTCCCCAGGCAACTCTTTTTTCCTCCTTTGGGCTTCCTTTGTTGTGGCCATCTTCGCCGCTAGGGACTAGTGAAGACTTTTCCCCTCTCTCGCTCCCATTCTCCCTCCTTTGACTCCCAAAAAAGACAGGAAGCCCGTGATTCTTAGTGATGTCTGCGGAGGAGGCGATACTGATGTTTACTGACTGCATTTACGCACGAAAATGTGTTGTTTATTGCTTTTATATTACATCATTTACCGGTGAAATAAACAATAACATTTGACCAATCAGAGAGCGCGTACTATGATAGCTATAATATAAATAATTAATATACGATTAATATAATATCACTTTTTCACTTATGGTTACATTATTTTCCAGAGATTGGCAATCGCGCGTGAGTACAATGACAAAGCCGCTGAACGTAGAGCTTGCAGTAACCTCGGCAACGCTCACGTGTTTTTAGGTGAATTTGACATCGCTGCCGAATACTACAAGTAAGTGCACGTGACGTTCACGTGATGCCTCGTGATGTTCCCTAAGCTTATAAAAAATAGTGTTAAGGCCGGCGCAACCGCTTTCATCATTTCAACTTAGCTGAACGGTAATTACGCGTTTGCGCGACGGGAAACAACTACCGTTAAACATCGTTCAACGCCGTTCTACAGGCTTCTTCACATAAACAATAAATAAATATTTCATTATCATTAGGATAAATATATAATTGTACATGGCTTCCAGTGACCTGCAAGTAGTCATAACTATTCAATGGTAGGCCACTGTATCACAAATATAAATACAAGAAAAAACAAAGTTGAAGGAATGTGGAAACAAATGTTGAAATCATTTGCGTCAAACATTACGCTTATCGGGCTTCAAATGCACGTGCTTCTCACGTGAAGCCTCGTTTCCTGATAACCTGCCTTAATCACTGTGTAAGCTACTGGTAGTGGTCGTTTCGGTTGTAAGTGCACAAGCGGTTCACCTTAAGCCTGATGGCGTTTACTAATTGCTATAATCCTCACGGGGGATATCCTGGAAACCGACCTTAATTACTATTTAAGATATTTTTTACAAAAAAGACTAGGGCGTGCTGTGCTGTTAAGTTCACGTGCCTTTTAACTAAAGCCTCGTGCTGTTGATTCTGATAAGGCATAGTTTACAATAGCGAAATGATGACACTGTCGACACTGACATAAWATCCGAGGATAACATCTTTCTTAGTGTTCCTTGTTCGATATGTCTCTCTGAGGTTTGATAACAAGGGCTCTTTAGGTTGTCGGTTCACGTGTTGTTCACGTGAACGCAAGTGACTATATTCCATCCTCATCTAGTCTTCAGCTGTCATTTGCTTTGGCAAGTTGATGTCGGCTGTCATTTTTGGAAGCGGAACTTATCATAAGTTTCCTTTTTTGCTAAATGCCTGCTGGGTTTTTGTTTGTTTTGGGGTGATGTTGTTTTGACCAGTATCAGGCAGTATATTTTTTGAAATGTAGATGGMAAATAAGTGCTCTTCCTGTTCGATAGTACAACATTATCCAGACATTATCGTTGAAAAAATCTAGTTACGATGAGTGCTCTATAAAAAAGCAGTAAATATAGATCATGTGTGGGAGAAAAAAGGGGGTACAATCACTTGTCACTCAAAATAAAACAATTGCAAAAGACTTTCTTATTTGACGTAGTTTTAATAAAAATATGAGATCACTATAAATTTGATTTGTCTCATTTTGAATAATAAAAAATCATAAATGGGATTCAAGAGCATAATTTTTGGTTTCGAGTTCCGTTCTGAAGATGAACTTCAGAAGATGATTTTTCTTCATTTTGATTAAACCCTAAAGCGTTTGTTAAGAAATTTATTTTCAAGTTTATTTTCACCCTATAACTGACATGTTACATACATCGAAGATCTTATGCGCCGAAATCACGAGGCACGTGCCGAGGTGGTCTGCCCTCGTGCCCGCACTAAGCTTTCGTGCTTGATTCTTCACGTGTCTCGCAGAATCATCACTCTTCTTAATATCGCAAATTAGATTTTTGTTCTAGTCTATTCAATAAAAAAAGCAATAAAAAAGCAATGACTTAAAATAGCTAAGGAAGGACAAAAAATGAAGTCGTTCTGATAAATTCCCAAGACATTTAACTATCGTAATACGTCATAACGAAGGTATATTTCATAAAACTGTCAAAAGCCTATGACACCAGTAATGTTTTCCTCGTAAAAAACTRCTTGGAGTAGGCTTTTAAAAGTGTCAAAGTCGTCATTCTTTTTACTTTAGAAAAATGAGGCGTCTTCTAAATGAGGCGTCTGTTAAAACACCCTTAAATCTTTTTTTGTTCAACACTAAAAAAAAACACCTCGCTTTAGAAATGCTAATGGACATTAAACCACAAAGACTTTTTACAAAAACTTCAGCATTACCGACTTCCTGAGATTCGTTATTTTTAAGGAGTGTTTGTTAATAGTAATTTTTCACTTGTCATGGACTAATCTGTTTTGCACGTGTAGTCAAACATGCTTCAAAACSTTTTACTAAATATTTAAGCTTTACTTTGAAAACATTAAACGTGTGAAAACCAAGTCTGTTAAAGTTTGACAGTCCAACTGACACAAAAGWAAACAATGGAATTAGAGCGTACTAAGGTGTATTAGTCTGATATCTATTCCAGTTTACAAAACTAATACTTTAAGTCTAATATATAGTCTACTAGACACAAAAGAAAACAATGAAGTAAGCGATTACTAAGGYGTATTTCACTCACTTCTATTTCAAAGGTTTATGGAAAGTATTCTGAAGATTAATTAGATGATAATAATATATCAATAAATAGCWATAGAGTTGTTTGACTTCGAACTAGTGAAAATAGTAGTAGGGCTTATAGTTTGAAGGTAGATTCCATACTCACTCACTGGAAAAAGTCGCGCGCTTTAAAGCGCGCGATTTTTTCCAGTGACTGTTTTCCTCTCATTTTTTTTCCATTTTTCATTGATTTATTTTTTAACCAACTTAAACAAAATCAATATTTCTTTACCTCGACGGTGGTTTTTCCTCGATTGTGTTATGGTCTACATAAAGCTGGTTTCTCTCAGCGTGTCTTGTTTTCGCTATAGGAAATACAAACCAATTCGATCAGATCGCTCAACCAGGTTAGCGCACGCTTCATTTATTCAGGCCCCAATAGTATATAGCATATCAAGAATATGTAGAAAGGTTTATTCATGCATTTCACAAYATGAATCATTACAGTATAGCAAACATGAATATTATAGGTAAAAATTAAATTTTTGAGTCCCCCAATCGACTTGTCKCAACTAGACAGCCCTTTTCTGTCGATGAAAAAAAAAAAGAAATAAAGAAATAATAATCTGTTATAAAAAAGATGCGAAGGGCAAACCGTCAGAAAAGAAAATGGTGTAAGTTAAGTGAATTCATGAACATTTTCTTCACTAACTCTAGAATTTACGAAAAATTCTATTTATTTATTTTTTTTGCAAGATATTTAATGACTTACGCTATTTTTGTGCTTAGCATGCTGAACATCCCACACTATGCAAACGATTGTAAACCTCTACCATTTAAGCCGCTTTGAKATCTTTTATACGAAAATGTCTGTAAATAATCATTTTCGGGGGAAAAGGACGTCTGAAGATACCAGACAGTGGTATTTATGAGAATTTARRRAAYTCAATRCTTAACCAGTCACATGTCTGCGCGTGTTGACCACACCCTGATCACGTTGCACCCCGTTATCATACGAAAKCTCCTTGAAATTTCAACATGTGCTTGAGATCTCAAGATTGCAATTTTAATAACAAAAATATTKGATTTAGTCTTTAAGGGTTTTCCAAAGCGAATACTTTGATTCTTAAACCTGTRAACCAAAGTGTAATAAACCATGAAACACCAAAAGACGAAGAATGTTTATTTCACGGATTTATGAAAACCACAGTGCATGTGCTATTTCGTATGGAATGATATTGAAATGTAAGATAGATAATATCACTTTTATTCGGCTAATGGATTAATTTTTTTTAGTGTTCACACGACTGTATCGACATMTGTTATTGCAAGTGACGCACCAGTTGAGATAAATGGTCAATTTTGTCCAGTTTTTTTCKTCGGCATCGTTAAATCATCATAAAGTTCTTTTTAAAATGATATCTTATAGCAACGGTTCACTTAAATAACAAGTTCACTTAAATGATTRTAGTGACAGGAAGAAGTGTCGTAACATATTAGCATTTGAAATGACATTTTAAGAAARCATTAGAGATAGCTTATGAGCTAACTGTGGATGTAAAATATCAATAAAAATACAGTCAAACTCGGCAAAAATGGAGACTAAATGCATGCAAGTTAACATATAGCTAACAATTTATGGAATTATGTATATATTTTCTACATACAACAGTTTGTTTAGTATTTTGAATTTATTCTATGTTCAAAAACGTTTTAAAAATTTATAATATAATAAGCCTTTCTCAATTTTTTGGGTTCCTGGGTCTTTATTTTTGTCGTCTGTCGTGTATTTTTTTTTCTTCTTTTCGTCTGAATATTTTAGCACGGACTTTACGTCATTGAATATTTTAGTGTAGTAGGATGAGGCAAGCTACCTTTTAAGTCGTTATAGCGTAGTAGTTCTCAGCCGAAGTCTTTTARTCCAAAGTAACTACAGCCCTACTTTACGCCAGACCAACTTTAATCATAACCGAATATTGAAATTCCTTTTCACATCAAAGAATGCTTGTCATGGCTAGTCATGGCAGAAAATGTCAACAATGTAAGGCAAAAACAACATTGACCATCAAAATCGCGAAATGTATGTTTGCATGTAACTGATCGTCTCCTCTCGCAGTCGTTTTAGTGAGGGGAGACATGGAAACTAGCCAAAGAAAGCCTGCATGACTGACCACTGTACACGATCTTTGAAAGGAAATTGTAAAAACGAACTAGGAATTGACATTATAAGAAAGCTAAGGAGAGATATGATCAAAAATTGGAGATGGGTGTGTTTGCATCCGCAATTGGAGTATTTTATGTTTTGKTTTTGKTTTTGGAAATTTTCCGGCATATCAAAACAACCGGAAGTCTAAAAAATACTGTATTTCAATTCAATTTGGATTGCACAAAGTAATTTTATAAAACAAAGACAAAGACAACGTTTTTTTGATTTTTTTCTGATAAAATATTGGGTTTTGCTTAGTCTTTGTCGAGTCGCTTGGCCTCTTGTCGCGGCCATGTCAAGGACACCACATTGGCGATCGAGCAACAAATGGAAGACATCAAGAAAATAGTTGTAATATTACTGTCCCAGAAATATTTTTAATAAGTTGAATCATTGTCAACCAACTAAGCTCTAAATCGTCAAATGAACTTCAACGTTCATCCCTCCCCCCGATTAACCCCCTCACTAATAATTACCCTCCCCTCCCCCTGCTAATGTGCCCCCTTCCCAATTCATAATTTCCATTTTCCATCTAACTGTTTTAGCAACCGTACAGTTTCCGTATTCTGTACATATATTCAATGAGTGACAAGCAAATATTGCGAGCAATATAGATATCAGTCATTTAGTTACATTAACCTAATTTCGAGAAGAGTTTGACGTGGATTTCATTAAAAGCTTTCACTTTCGTTAAGTTATAAAACTGTGCTCTTCGGTGCTCTTCATATTGACGCTGGATGGCGTCGAAAAGTCGAGATTTAATGGATTCAAACTTTATTCTTGCGTTATAGTTTTTGTCTTACAAAAATTGTGTCTGGAATGAATATGAATTGAAGAATGTTCCGTAGATTTGAAAGTTTTTTTTTTTTTCAATTTCTGTTCCTCACCGACGACATGCTTTCTGGGACACTAATGGAGGCTTTTTTGCATTAGTTTTGTCTTAAAAGAAATTCATGTTGCGTGAATTGAACAAGTTTTTATAGTATTACAAATTAAAATTACTAAAAAATAGTAATAAAACACTACAATTTTCAAAAGTGTTTTTTTTTCTTCTTTCTTTTAATGGCTGCTCCACGAACAACAGCAAGCTTCCTGCGCCATTAATAGAGGCTTTTGGTCTAACCGAAACGACCTGATGAAAATCATCGTATTTAAAGAGCTTGCACTATTCTTTTATTAAAAGCCCGACTCCTGTCGTACATGTTAGGTAGATATATTTTTGTAGCTTTTAAGTTTATGTTTTTATTTGAAAATCTAAAAAAAAAACACGTCTTTAGACGGTAAAAATAGCTTTTTGCCCCACGGACTGAATTCAAAGTTTTGAATGACTTAAACACTGTTTAGGCTAAGCCTTAAGCGAAGAAGAACTCGAGATTGAAGAGCTTAGAGCAATAATTTAAAGTTAGCTACGATCCGCATTGCGTGCTGATATTTTTCTAAAAGAGAAAAGCCTATTTTGGTCAAATCAGTTCGAAAACAATATTTTTTTTACGGAAAACGATATTGTGTTTGAACATATCTAACCTGGTTTTGATTTTCGTGTGCCGGTAAAAACGTGAGGCGGGCATCTCGTTTTGGTCAGTAACTGGGTCTTTAACAATGCTTTATCTTTGAAATGTTTGGTATCGTGTGGATAATGTTTGGAATAACTATAATCCACTACATTATCTCTCGAAATTCCTACCAAGAATGAATARATATCGTCTAAAAATTAGTTACAAACCATAAATTCCAAGATTGATGTATTGATTGATTAGATAGATATTATATGATTAAATAGACTTTCTTGGCAACTAAAAAAAGCTTTTCCTTTATTTTTTTCTTCTTATCTTGACATTGTCTCCAAAAAMGATTATTATATTCAGGTAATAAAGTGATGAATGTTGGGTCGATTGAATGGGGAAAAAAATGAAAAAATATATCGATAAAAAAATGAATCAATGAACTAATGAAGAAAGAAAGAACTTAATTATTAAATAACTGAAATAAATAATAAATGAACAAATAAGCAAACCTGATTTACACAATTGACTCAAAAAACTGGRAAGATAATATACTAAAAGTCAATAAAAATTACAGCAAAAATTGTTCTTTAGCCGATTAGAAACGCCAAAATTCAAGTAGAAATWACCTAATGGTACAGCGATGAATTAAAATGAGCGAGCAAACAATAATTAATTTATATCGCAAATAGAAAGGTTCCATGCCTTGGCCATTTGGATGTCAGAATATAAATTAAGTGACTTCAGTTAAAAAACCCATTTTGCTCGAGGCAACGTAACAAAATCACATGTTTTAATTCATTTRGTTCGTGTTCTGTAGTCCACCAGGCGGTGGTTTAGAATAAATATTTCATCGATTCGGGGAACACGAGAAGTTTGTAGTCGAAACGTGACGTAACCCGCCATTAATAAATATTTTTTTTGTGAAGTTCTAAACCCACGATGRTTCAACTTCCCATTTCTCGTCGCATATTTTGTTCGGCATATCATTAGAGATAAGAGAAAAATTCTCTTAAACTACATATCTTCATAAGTAAATCAAAATATATAATATATAAAAGATTAAATCGTAAAAAAACAACTGGTTTTTCTTGTTGAAAAAAAAAAGAGCCTTGAATTCAACAAAACAGCGATTTTATTTGCTCAACGTGCCTTAGCACAAACGTTTTGAATCTGAAGAGACACTCCTCAATTGTTTATATTTTACGACTTTATTCGCTAATTACCCTCTTTAGTTACATGTTGAGCTGTTAATAGAGCTGAAGAAGTTTTCACGTTTTTAAGCTTCCCGTGCTTTGAACTATAGAGCTTCGTATTTTTTTGTTAATTTTTTCACCCTTTTTATCATAAAAGCTGTAATTATAATTAATAAGGTTAAGCGAGTTACTCATCCAACCTCGAACGTATTACCATTGGTGAATTTTTCATGATATTAACTCCTTATGGAAAATTTTAAAAATCGTATGTAAAGAGCAATTACGATTCGTGAAAGAATCTAGAATTTAAACCGTTACTGTCAAGAAAATGATATTCCGCCATTCAATATAATCTGCTGCAATCGCCTTTAATACTCTTCATATTGTAATATAATAATCTTTAAATTCTTCTGAAAATTTAAAACACTGTAAATCATGAAAAGATATTCTCAAAAAAGCTTTAATTTCAGACATCACAAAAAAAATCTTATTAATTGGGTTCCCCCAAAAAATTTCTTTTTCTTTTTCTTTTTTTCTTTYATTTCTTTTGTGAAGAAATATATTTTGCTGAGCTTTTGAACGTGTTCTTTTTTATTAATTTATCTATTTTCTTTTTGCTTAACCCGTTAACGAAACAACTATCCTTATTAATTAGACTTCCGCTGTAATAATCCCAGCGTTGCTTAACCAGTTTCTCTTCTCTGAGTTGAGACAAACTGAAACTGTTAATTTCTTTCTTTAAGTGCTGTCAGAATTGTGC